TGCTGCTTGCTAATTCCCTTTATATTAGTGCATGGGATATTTGTGAGCTCAGGGAGTTTCTGTTGGCTTTTTTCCTTTGTAATTAAGGATGTTTAGAGCAGTCAGTTTGTTCATTCATAGCACCTGAGGGGTTTGTCCTAGGAATTTCTCTTTGGTTTTCTCTCTCACAATGGACTTTGCTCAAGAAAACTTCAGCAGAGCTACTTCTTTCACAGAGGTCACCAGAGGACCTAAACATACTTCCTGGTCAGTTGAAATTATGATAAGAACAATACCACCTAACTGTGAAAGATTCTATGATCTCTATGTTTCTGTGAATGCAACTTGATAAGGAAATGCTTTGTTAGAATAATACATAGTCTTTCTTTTGCATCTTTTTTGAAATAGTTTATAATTCTAGAAAGAGATACTGGAGTTACGTTGAAATGTACATTTGTTTTTATTGTCCTCAGATTTCTGCATTAGGCTTTTTTTTAATTAAAGGCACATTTAATTAATGTCAAGGCTGACTTTAGAATATTAATCTTAGTTGAAGCTTATTTTTTTTTGTTTTTCTTCCAGTGGTAACAAAGCTTGTAAATAGAGGATACCAACCACATCTGGAGGACTTTCTGCTGCGAATCAACTTTAATAACTACTACAAGGATAACTGAACTGTATATAGAGTAAGGATCACTGATAACATAGTAAAACAGAAAAAAAATATATATGCTTATGATTTATAGAAGCTTATGCAAATGCCATGCAAGGGGCATTTTTCTTCAGTGAAATAACCCACTATGTAATAGCATGAAGAAAATAACTACCACATACAGAGCATGATGATGCTTAAAATCCACCAAACCTGCCAGTTGTTTGATCTGCTGAAAATTGATGTTGTCATTATTACAGAGAGAGAAAAGCTGAGTGCCTGATCGTAACACAGGAGAGAGTGCAAAACTGTATATCTGTGAATGTGTAAATGTTGTATTTTCAGTGGTGTGAATTTCCTTGAATGTAAATACATGTATATGAAATAAACAGATACTTTCTAAAACTGCACTTGGTAATTGTTGGATAACTTGTGCCAAATTTAGCTTCTTTATACCTAATTTAAGCAGTACATCTTATTTTGTGGTGATTATGTAAAACACCTAAAACAGAAATTCAGCATCACTAAAGCACAACAAAACTGTAATTCCCAATATATTCCTACTGCTTTATATATAACTATATATAACTACTATAACTATATATAACTATATATAACTACTGCTTTCAACTGAAGGATCACATTTTCAATTTGCTAATAATTTTCCTTTTCCTTCTTTTTTTTTTTCTGTATTGTGAAAAGAAACAACTGAACTTTAAACTTCATGGTATGAGAATGTTTTAGAGAGGCAGTCAGCTTTGAAATATGTTGATTTGGAGATCCTGGAGTCACAGTTGCTTAAAATGTGGATATATTCATCAGGAGCTGTTCGTCTGATTAGGGAACACTTATTTAAAGGTACAGGCCTGGCTGGCAAGTTAACAATACCATGGAATATTGAATAAGAATATTTTCTGATGATGTATAGGTAGCTTTATGATTTTTTTTTTCTGGAATAGAAATAAGCATTAGAGTGAAGTTGACTTCACATACCAACGATGAAGTTGACCTGAGTGTTTCTGCTCCTTCTCTGGTTCCAAAGTCAGTATAAAAATGTGGTAATGCACAGTTGTCACATACATCTTCTATGCTGTTTATCTGTGATGTATTTAATTGACTAGCTGCTTTCTGTTCTACAGAACAGGGGATTGAAAGAGCAAGTGGCTTGCAGACTGAGCTATTTTGTTGCCTGGGCAGGCAGAGAGCTATTTTGGGAATTTGTAGGACTGGGTGTGTGTGTACCTTCTGGTGCAGACTGATGTCTTGTCGTGAAGCACCTAGACTTCCCAGCAGAGAGCAGCCACACAGCTTCTGTGGGGAGCAGCGTCTGATGTTTGAGACTTTGGAGCTTGGCACTGCACTGTAATTGTTGAAAGACAAAGGTTTATCTTTTCCATGAACCCAGTGTAACTCCTGGAGGAACAGCACACATACCTGCAGTCAGCTCTTCAAAATGCCTGAAGGCCTTACCTGGCCGCTGACATGGGCAGCCAAGAGAGGGTAAGAAAGAGGGAAGAGAGAAAAAAGGAAGAACAAAGTCAAGTTAAAAGATGTAACAGAGGTAGTGGCTGCATTATTTAGAACTCACCCATAACTGTGTGATCTTACACTGGATGTGACAGCATCGTGAAACCCTCCTATTGGATTCACATCCATCAGCTGTCACCCGGCTCTGTAGGGGTAAGTGCGTGTTACTGCCTCCACCTGTCTCATCGACTCTGGTCAGAGGTAAAGCTGCCCAAGTCCCACCCACCTGTGTTAACAATGCTGAAGGATCAGCTAAGGAGGGGCATTGGGGCTGGTTGGACATTATTGAGCACAAGTGAGCAGCCAGAGCATGTGGCAGTGTGTGACCTGATGAAGGGTGCTGTCTGGAGGGAGATACACAGTCAAATATGTGAAGCATGGAGCTGACAAAGTAAATTCAGGATAACCAAGGCCTGAATTTGCTCTTTCAGTGGACCATGTCTGGATGCACTCCATGCAAAGGCACAAGCAGCAGGTCTGGCCTAAACCCACTTCCATCACAGACGAACTCAAATGTAGAATACCAGAAACCAGTCTGTTCAACAGATATTTTGAAGTGCAGATTTACCTCAGCTGAAGCACCCAAGGAGCCACATATGTGTTTAAATAATTTGGTTTAAGTAAACTAATAAACAAAATACAACTTCACTTTCCACCCAAAGGCCTATTTCTGTGAGCAGAGTTAAAATCCCATCCTGAATCTGCTCACATCAGCTGATGCGTTTAATTCCAGTGACATAAGGAAGAATAAAAGAGGTGTCAGCATAGGTCTTATGGCCAAGGAAGTGGGAGGGAGGTTTCCCTTTGAAAAATGTGAGAGCCCTTACCTTGCTCTAAGCATACCACCAAAATAGCTGGCAAGGCAGGAAACCTGTGAGTTCACTCCTCAGAAAACACTGCAAAAATATAAAGTGAGGTTTTTGTGATATGACCTGGCCATCTGATACTAATAGAGCAAAAACTTCTAAAGAAATGAAGTTGGCAAACAGTATGGTTAACAGCAAAACTGTTTTGGGAAATAGGCATGAACAAGAATATTAAAATTGCAAGTTTTATTATTTTTAATAAAAGAATCACATCTGTAGTACTTATTGGGGAAAAAACCCCCTCAAACAAACAAAAAAACCAAACCCCAAAACAACCCACAAAACATCCTAAGTAAGAGCTGACAGTAAAACATTCAGCAACTGTAGATTCACAAGCTCATGAAGCAGAGTTACAGTGAAATCTTATCAAGTCATGAGAGGAGCCGCCACTACCACACAAGACTATCCAGAGACACATCTCCAAGAGGTTCTCATTTCAGTTTTGCAATCTGGGTACCACTTGCTTTTATGCAAGGGTAGTTCAGGATGTATAGCACAGGCTGAGTCTAAATCAAGTATTTCCACAGAAAGCTGTTGATAAGAAGAGTCACCGCTTCATTTTGAGCACAGCTCAGAATCACAGAATCACAGAATCAACTAGGTTGGAAAAGATCATTTAGTCCAATCTGTGACCTAACACCACCTTGTCAACTAGACCACGGCATTAAGTGCCACATCCGGTCTTTTCTTAAAGACCTCCAGGGATGGTGACTCTACCAGCTCCCTAGGCAGCCCATTCCAATGCCCAATTGCTCTTTCTGTGAAGAACTTCTCCCTAATGTCCAACCTAAACTCCCCTGGAGCAGCTTAAAACTGTGCCCTCTTGTCCTGTCGCTGGTTGCCTGGGAGAACAGACCAACACACACCTGGCTGCAACCTCCTTTCAGATGGCTGTAGAGAGTGATGAGGTCTCCCCTGAGCTTCCTCCTCTCCAGGCTAAACAAAAGCTCCCTCAGCCACTCCTCATAGGAATTGTCCTCCAGACTCTTCACCAGCCTCATTGCCCTTCTTTGGACACTCTCCAGCACCTCAATATCCTTCCTGAACTGAGGGGCCCAGAACTGGACACAGTACTTGAGGTGCAGCCTAACCAGTGCTGAGTACAAGGGAAGAATCCCCTCCCTTGTCCTGCTGGCCACACTGTTCCTGATACAGGCCAGGATGCCATTGGCCCTCTTGGCCACCTGAGCACACTGCTGGCTCATGTTCAGCCTGCTGTCAACCACCATTCATCACCGCTCTCTGGGCCCCACTGTCCAGCCAGTTCTTAACCCAGTAAACAGTGCACCTGTCAAACTCCATGGCTTTTATACAAGCAGAATATTTGACCAGTAAGAAATATAATTTTCAGGTTTACCTATTGCAAATACAAGCTGTAAAAATAAAAAAGCAATTTATGATTCAAGTATTTAGACTCTCAAATGCTATAAGCTGTATTCCCTTCTCTCTGAAGAACTGAGCTTACCTGGACAAAATTTGGTCTAATTGTCCTTAACAACCTCCTGCTTCCACACTGCTCCAGGAACAAGAACAGAAGAAACTATCATCAGAGATGAAACTATGACCTGCCTTCTGAAATGAGAGTGCTGGAAGAGCACAAGCATTCCACTTGGCTTCGGATCATCACACTTCTTCAAATACAAAGCACTGATCTTATTGCATGCACTGGGAAACCGAGCAGTTGGATGTCAGTGCAGTTAGACTATGTGAATACACTCCATATTTCTTTCTGTTGGTAAACATCTTATGACAAATACAGCTTTAGTGAGTGGCACACCAAAGCAGCCACACCAGAGTACTGCATTCATCATTCCAATCTTGCTAGACCTCTTGCATGTAAGCAAAGATCTACATCTACATGTAGATCTTGATCTACATGTAAGCAAAGAATCTATTTTACAGCAAACACCACCACATTTTTGTTTCTCACTGTAGTATTCATTTTCCTTTTTAAGGATGACATTGCTAGTAAGTTATTTCAAAGTATCTCCATGATTTTGGCATTATAGGTGACAACAATTTGGTAGTTAATTAAAATTCTCATATGTTCAAACACAGAGTTATAATATTGTTCTCCCTCTCCATACCGCTACTAATACAGATCTACTCAATGTCCCTAAATTATTATCAGGATGCCATTAAAAAGACTTGATCCCTTAGGTATGGTTAAGAATCATTACATGTTAGACCATTCTGTTAAGCCAAAAGCTTAGACAGAGCTCCTCTAAAACTCTGTTCCCCTTTGCTTCCCACAAGGAAGGATGTAAATTGAGAAGCAAAATCAGCACAGTTATGTCAATCAGCTTGGAGCAACCTCTCCCCACTCCATTACTCCCCTTCTGGACCAGGCACCCCGCAAGAGACCACTGATTCCGCAGGGAAACGTTTGAAGCCTCTTTCAAACTGCTGGCACACTTTCCCTCTCTGGTGCAGTCCTTTTTACCCAGCCCTCACTTTCTGCTAGAAGTTTCCATTAAATGGTTTGATTCCAGTACCCCAAGTTTAGAGGAAAGCTAATCCTCAATAAAAGTCTCAAACTCCCACAAAAATGGATTATTCCTAGAAGATGATCAGCTGCACTGGCTGGCGTTACTTGCTGCCTACTTCTTCGAGGTGCTTCCTCTTTCAACTGCACCATTCTTCCACGGGCTATGTAAATACACCTTTATTTTGTCCTTTTCTGCAAGAACTCCAAAACCTCACAGAAACTGCTGTACTTGTCAGAGATTCTAGTTTGTCATAAATCAGTTTCTTCAGCTTGAAGGCAGGACAGAGTGAATGTTTACATTCAAAACATAGTCTGTGTACTGCAGCACTAAGGAGGACAAACTGATTATTAGTACAGACAGATAAGCAGCAGTCCAACTTTTCTTCCTGTTTTTCAACAGCTTGTACAGAGGAAGACTTAAAAGAGCACAATTCTACCTGAGCTAATACCAAGCTTGCACAGGGGTAGTGGAAGAATTTACTTGAGTACACATAAATCACAGTGTAAGACAGTGGTCTCTTTGGAAAAGAGAAGCCTTTGCATTAAAGCAAACTTTGCAGGTATCTGAATCAGTAACAGCCTTTTAGAAAGAAGTTCAGAAAGCTAAGTAACAACTAATTACAGAACAACTCTCTTTTGCTAATGTGGCAATAATGGCAACCAACTTTCCCCTGAAACCTCAACAGAAACGTTACCAATAAGTAACTTGCAAGCAAGTCAGCTCCTGTTCTCCTCCCACATCCTCCATCATCTTTCACACAAGCTCAAATAGCACATTTCTGAATGGCAACTTCAAACTTAAAGATTTTTCAAAGACCATGTAAGTAAACTAAATGGTGCAAGACCAGACTGGGAATGGAACAACCCCACTGACCAGTGTGATGAGCAGGCACCCCACATACACGCTTCTCATACAGCGAGACTTAGAAGCACAGAAAAAAATACACAGTGAACCTGGATTTGAGTGCTGGGGTAGTTTAAGGTTCACTAATTTGGCTAATGGATCCTGCCCAAGGCAACTGGCTTACAAACTGCACTCATGAGTTTAGTAAATATTTACACATGTTGTATGCAACATCCTGAGCCTGAATAAACTTCACCACCAAGTTTTCAAGTGCAAATGTATATAAACTCCCTTAATTCTGGTCTTAAAAAAAATTCGATTCCTCCCTCCAAACTTGAGCCTGCCCTGCACAAACTCTCTGAAAATAGATAATGATTAAATACCAATCTGAAGGTTCACAAGAAATGAACTACTTAATTAAATGAAACATAGCTTCAAATAAGCAACACTGAATTTGTTCCTCCAATAAAGAAGACTAAAAGTTCCTGCATAGAGAAAGCAGTAAATAAATATTAGAAGTACTATTAGTTAAGACATCGGACAAAAACAGATCAGATTCCTGTCTTGCTATTTTTGTCTTCACATAACAACAACTGCATTTGGATGTTCAAAATTCAGCCTGCCTCAGCATAAAATATTGCTTTACACTTGTGATGTAGTATGGATAAAGGAAATACTTTCAGCCTCAAAACACTGAGATTACTGATGTATAGGAACTGTTAATTGTCACTGGTTTGTTCCACTGATCAACAATTGCTTCCAATTAAGGACAGATGAAGAGTGCTGCAGATGCATCCAAATGTAGGGTTGCTTCAATAACTTAATAGCACTTTGATATTTGCCTTGCTGAATTCTTCACTGCTGAAGGAGGATCAGAGTCTTCAGTTTACAGCAAAAAACAAAACAAGGCAGTTATGAAGATCATGTAACGCATAGCTCTGAAGCCCAAAGTGGAGGTTTGCTGCAATATGGTAGTCTGCTTCTGGTCTCTTCAGCACAAGCAGCTGCTGTGGCAGTTGCTCCCTCCTCTTCTGCATCTTCCTTTACCTCCCTGAAACCTTCTGCTTCTTGGAATGGATGCTCTAAAAGTTTCAGTACATTTCTTACCTAGAGAGAAAACATTGCGTGGTTATGAGAATTTAGAAAGTGGAGGAAAAATGATGTGGAGAAGAACTTCACACCAAATAATCAGTATATTGTATTTAATACATGAACTCCAGACAAGCCAAATATTAAATAGGTGAACAATATACATATCAAATAAGCTGAAATCAGAAAATCAGTAATTGTAACTGGGTTTGTATCTGTATGGGACTCAAGCTCAAATAACCTGAAATGCAAGTACTTTTCTCAAAACAAATTAATTTCCCCATATTCTGCATGTAACATTCCCTGTGCTGAAGCCCATAGGTGAAAGCCATAAGTTTTAAAAGATAAGCTTAAGCTGTGCCAGGGGAGGTTTAGGTTGAATACTAGGAAAAGATCTTTTACAGAGAGAGTAATCAGGCATTGGAATGGGCTGCCCAGGGAGGTGGTGGATTCACTGTCCCTGGAGGTTTTTAGGATGAGACTGGATGTGGCACTTAGTGCCATGGTCTAGTAACCACAGTGGTGTTGGATCAAGGGTTGGACTTGATGATCTCGGAGGTCCCTTCCAACCCAGTTGATTCTATGATAGCACTTAGCACAGCAAGGAACAAGTATAAATTAATCCTCAACTGCCTCCCAAGATAAATGCCACCCTCAAGAAAGAAAAAGCAGGGGTAAGTGTCTTGTCCTGGAGTCAGCCTACAAAAGCTGGTGAAGTTCAGAGTCAGATTTTTGATTCAGTTATTTGTTCTGCAGTCATTAAAATTACAGCCTCCTCAAAAACAATACAGATCTCCTGAACAGTGAATTTCCAATGCACTTACTGCCCGAGATGCCAGACCAAATCTTGGCAAGCATAATGTCAGTCATCTACACCAGCGCTACATATCCATGCAAACCTAGAGAGGGTGTAAGTAGTAATAGCATACCTCTGAGAAATCCCCATTTTCAGCTGCTTCTATGGCATTCTGGGCAATATAATTTCTCAAGATATATTTTGGATTGTTTGAATTCATGACCTTCACACGATCAGTGTTCCAGGCATCAGCATCACCAACACTTTCTATTTCTTTTTGCAAACGGACTCTGAAATTAAGCAAGTGACAACAACAGGTTTGGATCAAGAATCATATGTGGAAAGTTGATATGTTTCCTTGCTTTGAGATCCTTAGTTTGCAGTTCTTAATAAACATTACATCATCTATAATCCTCTCAGTTTATAAAATGCAGCATGACAACAGAATATAAAACGTCACTTCATTCATAAAAGCAGCACTACAGACTGACAGCAGGTCCTAACAAGGCTCAAGAAAGTGGCACACCACAGCTTTTGTGTTCTCTCAAAGTGCATGCTCCACAAAGACTGCCACATTCAGGTCTTGTCTTTTAAGTATTTCTATGCTTGTTTATTGGTTAATGTTTTGCTGTTCTGATAAAAGCAAAGGGATGCAATATAGCTGAGGCAGCTTGATCTACTTTTTATCAGTAATACTCACTAAAAGTGAGCCCCACTGGAGAACAAGATCAGTCAGGTAAAGAAAGGACCTAATCCACACAGTACAAACAACTAATGCTCTACTCAGGGGTTTTCTTTACAAAAAACCCTTAGGTTTTAGAAGAGCCTGGACATTTTTCCCTGGCCACGATTTCTTTTACAGCTACTCTTTGATTAAGAATAATTCTACTTGATTTCTATATTAATACATAGATTT